TCCGGTCGATTCAGTACTTTTTTGGGGACATCGTCAACACCGTGTCTACTCAGTTTGGGCAAACGGTGTAAGTCTTTCATAACAACTATTTCTTTAAAGTTCATTAGCTACTTAGATTAGACTATTATAGATTTTTACCTAGTGAACCGAACTGGAATTAGAATAGAATTACGTATGAATTTTTTTGAAATTAGTATAAGTTTAGATTAAATATATTTTTAGATTAGATAGATTCTACTAGGTGGAATTAGAATTACACATGAAATCGAATTCATATAAGTTTTGTGCACTATAGGCTGGTGATCGACCTTACCATGTTCGAAGTACGACCTATTTAGTCACGTACCATGCACATTATCAGACGTATCTCAGAGAGGCGGGCTTGTCTAGTGTTCTGCCCCTTGTCACTATGAATGCTGATGCAAGTTTTATTACTGCGCTTGTAGAGAGTTGGCGACCCGAGACGTCGACCTTCCACTTACTGTTTGGTGAGGTCACGATCACTTTAGAGGACGTTGTGACACTAACTGGTCTAGCAATCGACGGTGATGCCGTCGTAGTAGACATACCAGATGAGGAATGGTCAGATATCTGTGTGAGACTGTTAGGATGGGTTCTTGATGATTTTTCCGGCGGTGTCGTTAGGTATGGTTGGCTGAGGGATGAATTCAGTCATCTCCCGACAAATGCTTCACGTGAGACTACAGATCAGTTTGCACGAGCTTATGCTGTATCTCTGATGGGAAGTGTACTGTTCCCGGATCGGTCTGGAGCTACGGTGCAACAACAATACCTACTTTTGGTGGAGGATTGGCAGAGAGCTAGACGATACGCCTGGGGACAGCTGTTTTAGCCTACCTGTACCGTGAGATGGGTAAATAGATTTTGCACATTACGCATTCCTCCTCAACCTAGGAGGTGACCTTGTTGGATGGGTCCCCTTACAGCGGCTTTAGGAGTGGGAGCGATTTCCACATCTGACACCGCGACATATAGAGACGAGGGCGCAGATTGCCGAGGACGCATTCCCACGTGGTGTTCGATAGATTCCGGCCAACTCTCATCAGTACGGTGACCAATTATTCTAGTACAAGTTGTGGTTTGACGAGATAGAGACCATGGTGGTTAGTATATAACATTTCGTTTTATAGAATAGTTTTCATTGGTTTGTTTTAGATTTAGGAGTAATCATGTGACCACTTTTTGTGTGTAGTGGCAACCTTACGTTGAGAGAGCACAGCATCTCAGAGGTATTGTAATCCAGTTTGAGACGTTTCGAGCAGTAGTTCCACTGATCTGACTTTCAGTGGTGATGTGACACCATCCAGGCTGCGTGCTCCGCCAGTTTGGCATGATGCAGGATGACCCTCATCCGTCACATAGTGAGGCTGAGGTTAGGTTTTTCCTTCGCCAGCATACACGTGGGTCATCGCGTGGGAGGCAGTTGGTAGTTGGTACACGCCTCCAAAGAGTCGATTGCTCTTTGGAACCATCGATATGAGTTCATAGCGAGGATGCCATACAATCTATTACCACTACTTCCTCTTCTACCACCCCTCGCACGTCGTTGGCCACCACTTCCGCTTCGTTGGCTCCCACTCCCACTTGCTTGGCCACCACAAGTTGATGCATTATTTCCAGATTGATTACAGCTCCTACACACTTGTTGCGCTACACCCTCTCTTGACCAATCCATCTTGTTGTGAATTCTTGTTGATCGTGGTCTCTCCGGCTTCCTAATCATGTGCACATTAGGATGGAGAGTAGGGCCATCATGCTTCTTCCAACCCTTATGTTCACCAAGAGGTGTGAACTTATCCCATAACAAGCCAACACTATTTCAAGCTTGTAGATGTCGTTTAAAAACCTATACGGGTTAGCCCCCATTCGGTTGCAAGCTGCAATGGCATGAGAGCAAGGAATTTTATTTCCTTGAAATTTTCCACAAGTGCAAAATCCCGCCCGATTGTTGTCGTCGAAGTGCATTGTGAGTGTGTTCGAACCCGTAATGTTGAAACTGTTGGGAGGAGTCTGAACTACATAGACGCCCTAACGTCGATCAACCCCTGTCACGGAATGTCCAACTGCCTTTTGTGCCCACAACTTCATCAGTTTTTCGCATGGTTTGGTGTACTGTGACTGCCCACTTCTGATTTGTGCTTCTGTCTCCAACATCATCTTATCGAATTTCTCCAATAATCGCCAATAAGTATGTTGCACAAGAGAAGTTATAGGAAGTGAACGAATGCCTTTGAAAATACCATTGATGCTCTCTGCCATGTTGGATGTCAGGATAGATGTTATAAACACGTTTTCCTTAGGAAACGAGTTTTTATATCATTATCATTATTATTAGGTTCTATTAAATATGGTTAGTAGTCTTTTAGTAGAATTAGGTTTAGTATTAGGTTTTCCTATCTTTTCCTATAAATATGTACTTGGGTATTCCGTTGCAATCAAGCAAGAACAATTATTCAGAAAGTATCTCTCCCAAAACCCTAATCCTCTATCTCCTAATTTCTCGTTCTCAAGACCTCTAAGACTTCGACCGATTCTATCTTCTATTCTTCTTCTTCCTCAAATTCCCAATCTCAATCCCTATTTCTATCTTCTAATCCCTAAATCCCTAATTCTCTTCTTTAATCCCTAAAATCCCAAATGTCGTTCCAATCCGCGAACCCGTTAGAAACTATGTTTCTAACAATAGACCATTGACGCCCACCATTATAGTTATCATGTGCTAAACTCTAACGAATTTGATTTTGGTCCACCCAGTTATCACATGAAATATTCCTATCAGCGACTATCTGAGATTATGCAGATATCATTTCGATCGGTCAATCCTTGAACGTGACTTATGGACCATGGCCAACTATAAGTATTCTCGATCTCCACTATGGCAAATGCAATTGGAAAACTCTTCTTCCGGTCATCTTATGAGCTCGCCATGAGTAGCACTCCTTTATACTTTCCAGTAAGAAATGTTCCATCAACAACCATGACTCCTGGACAATTCTTGAATCCATCTATACAAGGTCCATAAGCCTAGAATACTGGCTGAAAGATCAAATGATCTGGTTGCGATGAAGGAACTCTTACCCAATCAATCACTGATGTTGGCATTTTTCTCTTTACCACCCGCAAGAATGTTTGCAAATAATCATAGGATTCTTCCCAATTTCCATGCAACTTCTCCAATGTTTCTTGTTTCCCATACCAAGCCTTCTGGTAAGTAACTTGCACATTAAACTTATCTTTCAACTCAGTCTGCACAGTTAGAAAACTCAGATTTGGTTGGGCACGTACCAAATGTTTCACAGACTCAGATATAACGTCGACATCAAGATGGAGATGATCCGTCGGTTGAGTCGTACTACTACAAGAATGCACCAACTCGGTCTTTCTCACAGTCCATTCACTTCCAACATCTCGACATCCAAACGGACCATCCAAGGACAATTGTCATCCTTGTGCTTCAAGCATCTGACCTTCCAGATTGAAGGTGACGACTCCACCACGCCATACTGAAAGTTGCGTTGTAGTGCGTGGTATTTAATCGCCACATGTGCAGCTTGTTTCGAGTGAAATATCTGCCCCTTGTAGAATTCTCCTTCAAAACCAACAACAATAGGCATTGGAACTACGCCATATGAGTCAGCATATGATAATTCGTCGTCCTCTTCATTACCCTGCATGTAAAAATATGGAGGATAATTAGCCTGCTCTCCTTCCCCATCTTCCTCCTCCTCCTCTCCGTCATCATGATCGGATGGCACGCTCCATTTCTCATCTTCTTCCCTCCACCCCGATCCTCACTGAGCTCAGCATGTATCTCGGCACCCAAACAATAAAAGGGTGATGTGTCATAAAATCGAAAAGCACATTCAAGCTATCATCATCGCATAATGAAATAAACACCAATCTGCCATTCTGGAAGACAGTAAGTGAAACATGTGATCACATCACTATCTTTTACTGCTTCGTCTTTACGCCGTATTCTCGGATTTAGATTCTCTAAAAGTTTGTGATATGTCACCCTAGATGGAACCTTCAACTGAAAACTTCTGCCACCAACGAAATGGACGCCCAAATTGTCCTCTACTTTTTTCGTTTTCCATCGAACGACTAGTTCAAATCTTCTAAAATCACTACATAAAAAAACAAACTCACTAATTTCTAACTAAACAAAATCATAATAGCATTTGAAGAATATAATTAAAAAATAAATGTGTCTCTTACCTATTAGCCATCTTTGCAGCAACCAGAGCTTCTCTCGTCTAACTTCGTCGATTTTTTTGGTGGTGAGCAACTGAAAGGAAATCCGCTGGTTATATGGTGCTGGAGTGGGTGGGTAAGCCAGCGAACCCGCCTCAGTCTCGGGCGCCGCCACTGGGTGAAATTTCCCACCAAACCCGCCTTAGTCTCTGGCGCCTCCGCTGGTCAACGATTTTGGACATTCAAAAACAAAAAAAATGGCGCAAACGCCGCAGCCTCGGGCGCCCCGTTCAAATTGATTAAAAAAACAAAAATAACGGTAGCGCCTGAGTCTTGGGCAGTCTCGCCGATTTTGCTCTACAAAATACAATATTTGTGTAAATAGTTTTTAAACTTCCCTGGTAAAATATAAAAAAAAAATATTTGTAGAATTAATGACGTCAAATAACCTCAATTAAGAAAAAAACAAAATATGTTCTGCATGGCCTTGATCCTCGTCTCCCTTCTCCAGGTAGAGTCCGCCTTTCATTGTCAATTTTGGCGGTTGCCATCCCTTCCCTTCCCTTCCACCCGAAACTGACCGAATCAGACTCTCCATCTCCATCCCTCTGACTCTCTCTATTTCTCGTCACTCCGACTTGTCCTTAACTCTGTAACGAACTAAAATGGCGCATCTACCTCCTAATGGCTGATCATCTCCCCTCCCCTCCTCCCAATATCGTCATTAAAATCCACCATTAATCATATTCCTAATCCTAATTAGTAATTTACCTCCATATTAATCCCACACCGCCACCACCACCACCGCTAACGCCTTCCCTTCTCTTCCCCGCGTTAACCCGAAGCACCCACCTCCAAATTCTGCAAACCCTCGAAGCGAAAAAAAATGGACAACAAAGAGCCGCTCCTCACGTTCGTGGCTCCGAGCCCAAGAGCCCGCTGGCCGCCTCCGCCGCTCTCCCTCTGCCCTCTCCGGGAGAACGACGAGTTCTCCTTGCCCATCCCCATGACCCCTTCCCAGCTCAAGGACCACCTCATTTTCGGCCCTTTCACCCCTACCCCGAGGGAATCGTCTTCCTCCGTCGTCGACGCGCTCACTCTCTCCCCGAGCCCTCGTTTCCCCGCCGCCGGTACCTCCACCTTTTCTAACCTCGACCGCGGCGGCGGCGGCGGCGGCGGAGGAGGAGGAGGAGGAGGAGTAGGAAGCTCGGTCGTCCCGGACGCACAGGCATGGCTGATTGATCCCAATTACAAGATACCCAAGAGCAATCTCCACCGCTGCAAGACGGCTCCCGCCATGGCGGCAATCAACGAGATCAGCCACCACCCAGCCGATCCCAGCCCTCAATTGGGTCCCAATTCCGTCGTCCGTCAGGCCTTCGTCCTCCTGGTAATCTATTTAACATTCGGGGTTTTGATTTATTGGGGTTTCCGCGAGGATTTCACCGTTAGCGAGACCCACCCTGTGGTCGATGCTCTATATTTCTGCATTGTCACCATGTGTACGATTGGATATGGCGATATTACACCGAACAGTACTGCGACCAAATTGTTCTCGGTTCTGTTTGTGCTGGTGGGGTTTGGGTTCATCGACATTTTGCTTTCTGGGATGGTTAGCTACGTGCTTGATTTGCAAGAGAGTTACCTGTTGAGGAATGCTCAGAGGGTTGGGAGGAGGGAAACTGCGGGTAGGTACATTATTGATGTGAAGAAGGGGAGGATGAGGATAAGAATGAAGGTGGCGTTGGCTTTAGGGGTTGTGATTCTCTGCATTGGCATTGGGGTTACTGTGATGCATTTCATCGAGCGGCTTGGATGGATCGATTCGTTGTACCTCTCGGTGATGTCTGTCACCACGGTTGGGTATGGAGACAGGGCTTTCGGGTCGATGCAAGGTCGAATCTTTGCCTCGATCTGGTTGCTCGTGTCCACTTTGGCCGTGGCGAGGGCTTTCTTGTACTTGGCTGAGGCTAGAGTTGATAAGAGGCAGAGGAGGATGACGAAGTGGGTTCTTGGCCATGATATGACTGTCTCGGAGTTTCTCGCTGCTGATATCGACCACAACGGTCATGTGAGGTATGAATTTGTGTTGAATGTTGAATACAGTTGTTCAGAATTTGTCATGTTAGGGACGAAACTGTGCCAGTGTGGTATGCCTTAATGAAGAGAACGAACCGTTTGTGTTTGCTTGAGCTTGTGTTTAAAGAATTAGTGGGTTCATGGTGAATAGTAGCTCAAGGGTTTTAGATCCAACTTTTAAGCTCTCTTTTTCTAAAGCAACTTTGCTTTTATCTGAAACAAACGCGTCTCATCCGTGTCTGGTTTTATGGTTTGATCTGAGGTAGTCTCCATTAATCTTTGTTTCTGTGCTGCTTTAACTTGTTCTTTTTTTTTTTGGGTAGAAACTGCTTTAACTTGTTGAAGTACATCATACAGAACATAAATATTCCGCCAACACTTGCTCCTGATATTTGTCCCGTATGCTGTTGTTGTCAATGTGATTGATGTGCCTGATACATAATTAGGGAATGCTGTTCATAATCACGAAATCTTACGATGAGGCTTTATGCAGAATTCATTCTGGTCGTCTTTCATGGCTATTTATCTGCTGCTGATGCATGTAGTTTCTGTCACAAATTTCATTGGGGAACTTTTATCTTTGGTGGGAACCTGCCTGGCTTGCTTTATTGAGAAACTCTTGCATGCTTCTATCTTCAAAGCTCCCAACTTCTTTGTTTTAGTTACTGGACACTTATTAAACTTCATTGTGGAATCCTGTTTCTTGCAGCAAATCAGAATACGTGATATACAAGCTAAAGGAGATGGGGAAGGTAACAGAGAAAGATGTTCTGCAGATATGCCAGAACTTTGATCGGATAGACACTGGGAACTTGGGGAAAATTACACTCAATGATCTGATCACCGGTTAACCCTAAACAGCGAGAGGCACCTACCCTCGAACGAATATCTGTCCACCAATGGCACGGCAGGATGCCAGGATCAGTCTCGCAACGATCATACGATAGAGGATCAAGTTTTTTTTTTTCTCTTTTTCGAACTTGCATGGTCCTGCCACTGGCTTCTCCTTCTCCAGCAGCAGCATCTGACTGCCCGAAATCCAATCCGCAACTGTCTAACTACCTCATTTACCGGACAGGAGAAGGATTTCTGCCTCAAATGGTGGCCGATTGGAATGTAAATGAATGCCAATGTTTTTGGTTGGCTATGTGCAGTTAGTTATAAAGGTAGGATACAACAGGTACCTAGATCAATATGTATACGTTAGGATAGTTGTTCCCAAGGTCGGGAATTTTGGTCAGTTTGTGCAATATTCTTTGGTTGGTTTCCCTTCTCTCCTCTCAGGACCATCATCGATAAAACAATGATGATGGAAATAATACCCATGAAGTCGATGCCCCATACATCAAATGGGCGTACGTATCGTTTGAGAAAGAAAAGATTGGTTTTGATCAAATGGTTCATCATAAATAAGTTAAAAAAGAAAATCAAGACTTTTTATAGTTAATTAGTTTTTTTTAGACAATAAGAGCGAATTGTCATACGAAGGTAAAGAGATCGTTTTTCAAGCTCTCATAAAACTTCAATAACCATATCTTTTTGTTTCTACTCCTTGTTTCAAAAATTGGTTTGTATGAAATAATTCAATTCAAATTCAGTGTCATCATGTGTCACTCTTTTTTTTTTTAGCAAGATTCACGTCCTTTAAAAGCATCTTTAGTCGTTATAAGGATAATTTTGCTGTCTTTAGAATAATTTCTCATGAAACCTTCAAATTTCAGCCTTTAATTTTATGATTAAAAAAATCTGAATATCATTTTGGAAATTATGAACATGACTGTTTGATGCGATTTGTGCTCAGTGCTCACAAATTTAAGTAGGAAGTGACCTATAAAAAATAATAAAGACAAGACAACGTAGAAATAGTACTTGGTATTCAATAATTGGAGGTGGTTAGAAAAAGATCAAGAATGTACCTTAAATTTCTACATGTTCCCTGAAAGGAAAGGAAGTCTGAAGTTTGTATACATCTGTTATACAATGATGTATTTAAATCAATTGTTAATATATCTTGTTTAGGACCGCAACATAAAACATTTTTATCAAAACACTTTTAATTTGATATCATACCACAAACCAATTAACTTAGAAACTCGAGTTAGTAAAATTAGAAACTCGATTTAATCATATATCATTATTTTACACAAAATAATAATTAGTATAGAATAATTTTGATGAGGTGTGATGGCTGATGACCAAATAAGACCACATAAATAAACTTCGGAATCATTTTGGGTGGAAATGTTTGCAAACAATGGTGCCAAATATTCTTTTACTTTTTGTTTGCCTCCCTCACTCTATTTCTCTGACCAGAATTAACATACCGAAGATTGCATCGAAAAAGTAAATGATAAAGTATTTTGTGCTAAAATCGTGATTTAATCGTAATTCGAACGTTTCATACCTGCTAAAAATTGCTTACCTACTCAGTCTCCAATCTAATTTTCCAACCGAACCACTTATACGATACGATTTTACAAAATCGATTGGAATGCTTATAGTGTTGATTTGTCAAACCTCTTCCAAACCACTTTCTTCTTTTCTTTCTTTCCATCTCTCTATACTCTCTCCCTCCTTTTTCCTAAATCATAATTTCAAACCCTAACTTCCCCTTCCCCTTTCCATCTCCAAGACCTTTTCCTTCCTAATCTTCCCAGTTTCCACTCCAGGGTTATAAATAACTCTTGTTTTAACATCTCCCCCTTCCTTAATTATAATCACACCATTACTCTTCTTTCCTTTAAGTACAATGTCCGAAGAGGATCATCAACTCTACTTCCACCACCACCGCTACACCGGCGCTGGCGACGACGCTGCTCCCGTTTTCCCCAACTACCCATCTCCCGCCGCCGGCGGGTTCCTCGTCGACAAAGCACCACCACCATCTGCTTCTACTCCATACAACAACATGAGCCTCACCGACTGCCTCCATGGATCCGCTGATCACTACCACTCCCTCGCCAAAGCCTTCGCCCTCGACGCGAACCCATCGCCGTCGTCGTTGTCCTCGAGCGAAGTGGAAGATCATCAGGCGGCGGCGGTGGAGGACGATGGAAGTAATAATATTAATTGTCCTGACAACAAGAAAGAGTAAGAGTCTTTTTCGGTTACAGATGGAACAATTGCATGGTTTTTTGTTTTTAATTAGCAAAATCTGAGGGGGTCAAAATCAATTGTTTGTTTGTGAATTTTTTTTTTTTTTCCTGGTGAAGGAAGAGTACTGGCAAAGGGAAGAAGGTGCAAGGTGGGAAAGGGGAGAAGAAGAAACGGCAGAGAGAGCCGCGGTTTGCGTTCATGACCAAGAGCGAGGTGGATCATCTTGAAGATGGCTATCGGTGGAGGAAGTACGGCCAGAAAGCTGTCAAGAATAGTCCTTATCCCCGGTATGTGTTTATCATCTCTGTTTTCAGACTGGATGTTGAACGCAAGAAGAAGATAGTGGTTCATGGTTCAATTAATGATTCATCGTTATATAATCGTTGGTTAATCATTTGTAGAACTATTTATACGATAATCCCGCCTTGTAAAATATAAGAAATGTATATGAAACACCAATTTAGGACTCAATAATTTTAAATGCATAGCATCTAACGTGAAAACTTATGACAAATTATTAAAAATACGCACAAAAGAAATTTTACGCAAAATATAAATAAATATTTTTTAATCAGTAATTAGGGTGGTAATCGGTAGTGAATTGCATAAATTCAGTAAGGAGGTAGAGATTGAAGAACATGAGGTACAAGTAAAAATGAGTAGCTACGGTTAGATGGCCTCTGTTTACATTATAGTATTTTTTTTCTTAAAAAATTTGGTTAAAAGAGTGAATTAACGTGTCGAATCAGAGTAGTTCATTTGGTCCAATATTGTCCAGTTGTAGAAAATTGTTTGGTTCATCTTTAGTCGTTCAATGAAATGAACTGGACAGCTATTATAACTAATTTGAGTGAGTGTCTTCTAGCACGAACACGACTGTTGATTCAGTCTCATTCTCATAACAATGAACTTATTATAAATAAATAATTCATATCTAATATATAATATAATTCTCCCCTTATTATCTCTTGCTCTACACGATATCTAGCCAACAAGGCAAATAATATATGCATATGGTCAAGACTAGTGTGTGAACTCAACCCCACTGTATTCTCTCATCATATTCTCAAACATTGACTATGATTACCTAAAAGGTCGAGCAAATTCACATAATTAATTCCACCCTATACCAAACACCTCGTAATTTCCCAAATTAACTACTTGACTATATACTAAAAACTTGTATATAATTGATGACCTAGCTAGCTAGCAACAACGACACATGCGCATCACAACATTCACATCACCTTCTTTATTCAAAATTTGCGGCCAAACGGACTTGTAGTTCAACAATAACATAATAGGAGTGCAATCCCCCCCTAATCTGAGTGTTTGAACTTTAAGTAAATTTACTAGTACATAGTGAATATACAATTAGGTGCACCACCTCTTCATTATTAGTCTTTCTAAATAAATCGAGTTATTGAAACCTGCTAATTCTTAACATGGTATCAGAACTTTTTCCGTGGACCAATAGTATTATGTTCGAATCCCGACGATCCATATTTATTAAGTACACGGTACGGTATTCGGACCTGTGCAAACTTCAAGCACGCATATGAATTGATTTTTCATTATTGAATCTCTCCCAATAACTCGAGTTGTTGATGACAGGAGCTACTACCGATGCACGACACAGAGATGCGGGGTGAAGAAGAGGGTGGAGAGATCATTCGACGACCCATCCGTAGTCGTCACTACCTACGAAGGTCAGCACAACCATCACCTTCCTTCCACCCTCCGCGGCAACGCCGCCGCCGCAATGTTCTCCCAGTACTCAATGCTCGCGCCTTCCGTCATTCATAGGCCTACCACCAGCTTCCCAGCCGAGTTCCTGCTCCAACTTTCCTCCTCTCCCTCGTCGCCGTCACCGTCCGGCCACGTGGGCTCCTTGGTGTACCCGGGGCAGCAGGAGTTCTTCTTCCGGCACCACCGTAATAATCAGCCGCAGCAGTTGCAGTTCTCCGGCGACGACGACTATGGACTGTTGCAAGACGTCGTGCCTTTCTGTGTTCGTTAAACATGAGCCTTTGATTAACCGAGAAACGGATTGAATTTATTATTATAATTATTATTATTATTAGGGTAAATACAATATATTAGCCACAACTATTATGAAGCGGGGAATTATAGCCACAACTATTGAAATTCAAATTATTAGCCAAACGTTAACTATCTGTTAACAATTTCGTTAGTAATACTGACTAAATTTTTATGTTTTGAAGTTATAAACTAAAAGCATTCCTATGTGGCCGCTGTCGTGGCCGATGACGTGGCCTTCTCCGTCAAAAATTCAATAACAGTAACAGACAGTTAGCCATATCTTGACCTGCAACAATAGTTATGGCTAATAATTTGAATTTTCATAGTTGTGGCTATAATTCCCCGTTTCATAATAGTTGTGGCTAATATATTGTATTAACCCTTATTATTATTATAACCTGTTACAAGGTGCTAGAACTCAAAGTGTCGTCTCACCAACTCAGCATTAGGAATCGAACACACATCCTTACAAAAGGGGAAGTGTGCCGACTCACCAACTAGGCTGGACCTCGTTTGCAAAGGAGATTGAATTTGAACTCGCATCAGGCGACCATTTATTATAATTTCTGTAAATTCTTTATGTTGTAGTATAGGTTTATACGTAGTTTTTATTTATTTACTATATATTTAGCTGATGTTTAAACCGAAATTTGCGTTGCGAGGTCGGTTCAAAAACGAAATCTCGCGATTGTGGTTCGAAACCGCAAACAGGAAACCAATAATATTATTGGATATGAATTCTGATGAGTGATCAGTCAACGTCCGAATAATGAAAGATTTGAGGGAATTAATTAGGAACGTGTGGTGGGTGGTTTGTGTGCATTGATTTCAAGTAAAGCTTGATTGACGCCATCCATCAACGCATAGAATCACGAGGGACGGAAAAGTTTGACTGTCTCTTTGGGTAAGGACACGGTGGCCGGAGAGAGTTGAAACGTGTATATATATATATGAAGCCTGTGGCCGGCCGGCCGGCTATATATATGATGATGTTTTGCGGCGACCAGGCTGTTTCTGTCGACCGTAAAAGATAAGAGGGGAAAGAACATGTGTTATTGACTTGACTATATACGAATCAACGGAAATAGTAAGTTAGTTGTGAACAAAACGGGATATGTCGACACCTATATATAAATTTGACGTTGACGACTCCGGCTGGTCGTGTCAAATTCAGACTTTTCCTCCTTTCCTATTTTATCTCTATGCATAGTTCCAACTCCATAATTATTATTTTTTTTCGATAATTCCAACTCCGTAATTAGTTAGGCAAGGCAGGTTAAAGAGAGCGAATATTGTATGGTGTGTTTCTGAAGTTATTTGATATTTCGGGTATTTTTAATGAAATATTTCTATATTATATTATAAGTTAAATCAAATATATTTATTTATTGAACTACTAATTCTTGATTTCGATACAACCTCCAATTGGGTTTTACAATCCTTGATTTCGTTGTTTTTGCTCACCTAGTAGCATAACAAGCCTTTAATTTTATCTGGAGTCTGGTTACATACAAATTACTATTATTGTTTATTGTCAGTTTTGTAAATTTGTTATCCAATCATACCGGGAAAGAAAGCTTAGGTTAGATAAAAATAAAAACAATGATGATGAGCTAGCTAGGTCTCACAGATTGATCGATGGAGTCGCTATCAAATATACCTAACAGCCTCGAAGTGATTGACGGGGGAAAGGAAAACAAACAGCAGTCGTCTTGCTACCTATAATACATAGCTGCATATATCTCTACCCTCCAATTCTGTTCAAACATCAGCAGCAGCATCTAGCTACTATTACTTCAACTAATTTATATCTCTTATCATATAATTGCATCCCATCTACATTTCCCACCAAAATACTCCCTTGATTGTGTCATCTAACACCTTCCGAAATCTCATCTAGATAAAGTACGAAAGGGATTTATGTATTATAATAAACAATTCAACATTAACGATAAGTCGTGGTTTGAGACAAAAATAAAGAGTCTGAATTTAGACATACCCAACATAAAACAGTGCATAGAAAAATTGACCTCTTGGTAAGTCATCACTCATCATGCTGGAGCCAAAAATGAAATAATACAGAGTTAGTCCAGAGTTATATATATATTGAGGAGAAAGCTTTTGAGATCTTACCCAACGAACAGAACATTTTAGAACGAAACATAGTTGAGACTTGAGAGTCAATCCTTTGTTATCTATGGTGTGTGTCTGCAGCTTAAAGTCAATTTTGTAAAAAAAAAAAAATACACAAGAGAAATTTTTTTTAAGTTGCAATTGTCAAATTTTGTATTGTTGTGAATACATGTATAATATTATACATTTATTGTCGAATTTGATGCATTGTAAAATAAATCGTTTGTGTGATTGTGTATGTCACATCAGTTAAAAGCTGAGAGAACAATCTCAACTCAACTATCTCAACAATCACAACTAAAAGATGTGATATAACAATCACTCATTTTGAGTGATAGTTTTTGTCACTTTACAGAAAATCAGAAATAATTCATGTATAATTACTGCTAAAAACTATATAAAAAAATATTCTACACCATATATGTATAGTAATAATCTCACCAAAACAATCACAACTACCAAACCACCCGATTGACATAGACTAGAGATGCGTAACAGAAAGTTGCCATGAATCAGAAACAAGTCAAACAAAAAATGAAAATGGCCAACTAAACTTGTTTGGACAGGCTCCTTAGGCCCTAGCCCAACTGCCATAGAAGCTAGTAGCAGTGCATAAAACGCGGGCCCATAACTTGGGTTTTGGCCCAGCAGATAAAAAGAATTAAGTGCTTGGGATGTTATTTGGCCTTTCCCTTGCTCGACTTTTTTTTAACAAGAAATCATCAACCTTTATTCTACTACGGAAAGAGATTCACGGGGGTTACAAATGGAAATCAGAAATTATATTTTAAATACTAATCTAGTTATTTGGAAGAGGGGATCTTGTTTTCTTAAGTGAATTGTGATTAAGAATGTGTTTCCTTGTGAAACCAAATATCCACAGTTGGTGTCGAATTTGTTTCCGGCGATGTTGATTTGACTGTTTCGCCGTGGAAACTCTTGCGGTGCCGTTTGATCGAATGCACCACTGACTGCTGAAATCAAAACGACCGTCAAATATTCACCACCGGGTGATGTTGATTTGATCGATGCACCTCTTATTTCTGAAACCAAGACGACCGTCAAATATTCACCGTGGAGCGATGTTGATTTGATCGATGCACCTCTGACTTTTAACCAAGAACGACTGTTACTCGGTTCACAACTCTCCAAACAATGTTCGAACGAGGATGTTTGAGTTTTTGGAGAATCTACGTTAAAAGTACTCCTATGGATATTCCTGTGGAGAGCTCTGCGACTACGCTACGACTACGACTATGGAGATCCTTCCTAGAATGAGAGCTCCGCGAAAGAGTTACCAAGAAAAGATAAATTTGGAACAGAGTTGTTCTGTGTTGATTTTTGGTTCCCCATCTTTCCTTGCTCTGGTGGTTTTATTTGAAATCACCTGCGTAGCCTTCACGCTCTATGGAACCGCTTCCTCAACTGCTCTGTCATGAATTCTCACGTGTCTTCCCTCTTCTTCGCACGAGTTCGTCTCTACTCTTGCTTGCGTGAATCTCACATGCATGAAATAACTTCAACGAGTTTCTCCGCGGAGCTTCATTAAAATAGCTTCGTTATCTTCCCCACGACCTTGTCACCTACAACATTGTTGGAATTGTAACGCCGTTGAATCTCGCGACATTGCTTAGCTCACAACGCCGCCAACACCGCGGCATTGTTGAACTCGCTATACCATCGACCTTGTAACACTGCAGTGTGGTTACTACTCGCCATCGCGATGTTGTTGAACTCGCGGCGCCGATGATCACCGCGATGTTGTTTAGCTCGCGACATCGTCAACCTCGTGATGTCGTTGTAGAACACGCAACGCCGTTTAACTTGCGGCATTATCGCGATACTATTTATCCAGCGGGATCGTTAACCTCATAACGCCGCAAAAACATAGTGTCTAAATAAATTAATTTAGGTGTAAACACCAACCCAACTCATCAATTTCATTGAGCCAGCGACGTTGTTTTGGACTAAACAACGTCACTTCCCTACTCCGCGGCATTGTTAAATTCTTGCAACATTGCTTTTGACTAAACAATGTCGTTTTCTAATTTGCGGAGTTGTTGATACCTCCCGCGGTGTCATTTTCAACTAAACAACACCATCCAAAATAATTATTAAAGATATTAATTAATTAAGCTGGCCTTTCTGAGAACTCGGCCATCGCGACATTGTTTTCAATTAATATTGTCGCTCTTGGCTGTTGACTCACCGTCAACTCTCACCCCACGGCGCCGTTCTTAGCTAAACAACATCGTTTCTTAGTCCCGCGATGCTGTTGAGTTTCACGGCACCCTATTTTATCATTCGACATCGAATTAAATATCGATACTAATTAATGCGTCATTGAATTCAGGCCAAAATAATTTTGAATGTCAACAGAATGCGACCAGGTCAAAGTTCAAATGAAAAGGTACATGGAGAGGGGGGAAATTGGAAACGACATCAAATTGAAAAGGTTTAGACAGATTAAAAAGCGAATAATCTAATAAGTTCTAAGTTCTTCACACAACCTTAATTTTTATATGAGTGAGCGACTCAAATATTAACAAGGGTTACAACCTTAATCTTTACGTATTGATGCATCGAGCTCAAAGTCTACATAATTTCCTTTACCCTCTGTTCTTGAAGGAGGGAAAGGGAGGAAAAAGGAAAAAAGTGGAGGGAAAGTTGGAAATTCGAGGACTTTCTCCCGTTTCCGAAGCGAAGAAAAGTAGAGGGGAAGGGGAAGAGGGTTACTATTTGCCGCCCGGGCAATTACAATTTGCCGCCCGTAAAAAACACTAAAAGGACAATTTTGCCCTCCAAATATTTCTTTATATTCTATTCGCTGAAATGGTTTTTTAA